TCACAACACCCGGCTGTTTTTTGGTTGCAGTCGTCATTGTTGTTTTGCGGGTCCGGGCTGGATTCGAACCCGCCAGCTCAGGTGTATGTGGCTGGCGCCTTAGCCGGTTGAGCCATAGGCGCAGAGCCCCCCTTTTTTTTCTTTTTTGAGATGGAGTCTCCTTATGTCACCCCTGGTAAAGTGCTCTGGTGTCACAGCTCACAGCAACCTCAAACTCTTGGGCTCAAGCAATTCTTTTGTCTCAGCCTCCCAAATAGCTGGAACTACAGGCACCTGCCACAATGCCTAGCTATTTTTTGGTTGCAGTTATCATTGTTGTTTAGCAGGCCCAGGCCGGCTCAAACCTGCCAGCTTTGGTGTATGTGGCTGGCATCCTACTCACCGAGCTATAGGCACCGAGCCCCCTGCCCCCAATTCTTCTGCACAAATTCTGCTGTCCAATTTGGTTAGGGTGCTCATACAAGCACATATTCCTCTCATAAGAGCTTATATGAGCACCTTTGTTCACTCTGCTTCCCTTGCTTAAAGTCCCTTTCTTCTCTTATCTTGTATATACTAATGAGATTCTAAACTCAGTGAAGGCTGGTGTATATTGTTCAACTCAGAGAAATGGCTCATGAATTAGGATATGCTTCAGATCACTGGTGGTTGTTTATCAGTGTCAGTGATGGGGGCACCTCACACCTATTGAACCAGAATCTGGGGGCGAGGCTAAGTGTGGTATCCTGACACACAGTCCTGGTAAAAATCAGAACACTTCTCCTAGGCCTGGCATAATGCTGTCCACAGGGCAGGCCTCAGTGAACACACTGCTCTGTGGCTCTGGGTGAGAAGTGCTGTGGGTTCTCATCAGTTTTCTGGTGGCCCGCTCTGCTCCCCTATGATGGGTGCCATCTGTTAGGCAGGGGAAAGGCCTGGGGCAGCCTTCCCTTGTGAAGAAGGTTCTTAGAATATTGGCAGAGAACTCAGTACCTCATATCAGGCCTATTCCCCAGAGACTGGCTTTATAACTTTCAACTGATGTGTTGTTTCTATTCCCAACTCTTTCCACCTGTCAGCAGCAGAGTTCTTAGAAGCCCTTAAAAGGTCTGTGTGATTACTTGAAGACCAAAGGTTGGGGAGAAGCTCTCATCCTGTGAAGGCCTATGAGGTGAGATGCATTTCTTGGAAGCAGTGTGGAGAAGGCCATGGCCAAGGTGGAACAGTAGATCAGAGGATGTCCAGGAATCAAGGCCTATGGCTGAATGTCTCCTCTTTGGAAATTTTACCCTCTTCTAGGGTAACACTCATGTCCTTTTTCAGGTTTAAAGATGATGTGACCTCCTTCTTTTCATCCCTTCTATTTTCTGCCCCCAATCTCCTCCCTCAACCTCCTCAATATTCTCTTCATCTGAAATTCTTCCAACCCCTTCTCATAAGACATCCATGTGATTATGTTTGAGATCCCATACTGAGCATGTCACTAGCCCATCAGTGTCTAAGGAGCATAATCCCCCAAGATGAAACTGGCTCTGGTCCAGATGGTACTGAATCCAGTAGACCAGTAAGCTCCTGGGAATGGCAACCTGCCTCTGAGCATCTCTCAGGTAGGTCTTTGTACAAAGAACAGGATAGAGGAGCTGAGACAAGACCCACCTTGATCTTCATGGTACTGGGGGCCAGGGCTGTGATCTCCTTCTGCATCCTGTCAGCAATGCCAGGGTACATGGTGGTGCCCCCAGAGAGGACATTGTTGGCATATAAGTCCTTACGGATGTCAATGTCACACTTCATGATGGAATTGTAGGTTGTCTCATGAATTCCAGCAGACTCCATGCCTAGTGGAGATCACAATATCTAGTTGACACATCACAAATACACCTCCTGGTCCTCAAAGGACTGTTCTGCTATTGCAACTACCCTAGTTCAGACCCTTAATACCTCCCAAAAGGCTCATAAGATCAGACGCCCTACTTGCTCAGAGCCCTGCCTTTAGCTTCCCCCTGTTCTGACCAATAGTCAGAAGGTCTGTGTGATTACTTGAAGACCAAAGGTTGGGGAGAAGCTCTCATCCTGTGAAGGCCTATGAGGGAGTGTTGCTCACACTATTTCTAAAGGAACACTTTGTCCTATCATCTTTTTTTCACAGCTTTTTTGAGATTCAGTTCACTTGTCATAAAAGTGCCTTTAAAGTGTACTATTCAGTAGTTTCTAGTACATCCACAAGTTGTACAACCATCACCACAATCTAATTCGGGAACTTTATTTTTTCTTTTGAGATGGACCCTCACTCTGTTGCCCAGGCTAGAGAGCCATGGCATCATCAGAGCTCACAGCAACCTCAAATTCCTGGGCTCAAGCAATCCTTCTGCCTCAGCCTCCCAAGCAGCTGGGACTACAGGTACCTGCCACAACCCCGGGCTAATTTTTCCTATTTTTGGAGATGGGATCTTGCTCTTGCTCAGGCTGGTCTCAAACTCCTAAGCTCAAGTGATCCACAGGCCTCAGCCTCTCAGAGTGCTATAATTTCAGAAGATTTTTAACACCCCACAAAGAAATCCCATGGCCCTTAGCAGTCACTCCCATTTTCCCCTCTGCCCTGCCCCAGCCCTAAGGTAATAGCTAATCTACTCTCTGGCTCTAGAAGATTTGCCTGTTCTGGATGTGTCATAGAAATGTTTGGAATTATATGCCATGTGTTCTTTTGTGTCTGGCTCCTTTCACTCAGCATACCATTTTCAACGAGCATCCATGTCACAGCATGTATCAATACTTCATTCTCTTTTATACTGACCAACATTCCATTTTATGGATATGCTCATCATACCGTGTCTAAAAGCCCCCCATTGCCTATGGGTTGACATCTAGCTACCATAGCCTGGCATAAAGATCTTCCGCAGTGAATCACCCTGCATACCAAACGGGCTTCTGCCTCCTGCCTGGTCTCCCCACTTCCAGTCTTTTTCCATGCAATGTAATTCCACACTGTAGATAGAAGAATCTTCTCAAAGTACAACCTGAATTTGCTAGACTACTGCCTAAACTGTTTTAACCTCATTCATTCTTGTCTTCATGTTGTATTTCCCACTCTGCTTTTCCTGTTTTGATTTCTTTATCCTTTTGTTTAAAATTAGATTTTCTCTAGTAGAATTATTTATATATTTTTGTTACTCTCCAAGAAAATATGTCTGTGTATAAACAATAAACAAAGTGTTTGTGATTGCTGGTGTTTCTCTTTCCACGCCTCACCCACCCTGCCCCTCTGCCCTCCTGATTGGTCAAGTGCTCAGCAGGCACTGAGGGCAGCACCTCACCAATGAAGGAAGGCTGGAAGAGCGTCTCGGGGCAGCGGAAGCGCTCGTTGCCGATGGTGATGACCTGCCCATCTGGCAGCTCATAGCTCTTCTCCAGGGAGGAAGAGGAGGCTGCTGTGGCCATCTCATTCTCAAAATCCAGGGCCACATAACACAGCTTCTCCTTGATGTCTCGCACAATTTCTCTCTCAGCTGGAAGGAGCAGAAATGACAGCAGGTAGATACTCAGCTCAGTTAGTTTGGATGACCCATTTTGATCTCCATGAAAATTTCCTCCTTACATCTACTTTGGATTCAGTCTTAGGATGGGGATAGAATTGCCCCTGAAGAGGGTCAAGGGTCTCTCCATCCCATGTTAATTTTTCTATTTCTCTTTCTCAAGTGGGAGTTGGAAATTTTAATTCCCAAGAAAGACTTTGGATAGGATTTCTGCCAGAGCTCCAGGCCTTCCAGGACACATTTCTGGTCTAGATTCCAACTTATGTGTTGTGATCTTGCAGAATCCAGAAAGACTCCCACCAAAAGCTGCTCTTACCCAGATGGGCCACATGACACTTTTCCCTTAGAAATTCAGACCTCACTTGTTCCACTTGTCCTCAAATTGGCACCCCTAAGTAATTAAACACATCACTAGATCTTTACTACCATTCACCCCATAGAAACTAGCCCTGACCCAGACGTGGACATGCACAGAGGCAGCTGATTACTACGGGGGGTAAATGCAGGCTCGGCAGAATGGTGCTTAGGCAACTAGGCCTGATTTATGTGCTCTCCCCAGGGCATCTTGGTCAGGAAGCTTCCTCCTTAAATAAGGCTGCCTGGACGATCTGATCTTTTCTAGAGGCCCAGCTTCAGCATAGGGTCTCCTAGTCTATACTAAGAAAGTTTGAGGACACAGGGCCATAGAATTTTCATCAGTTCTGAGAACTTCTGATCCTAAATCAGGTCTGCTTCTGAGCTCAACTCAAAATTAGGAATGTGGCTGGATACCTGTGGTCACAAAGGAATAGCCTCTCTCCGTGAGGATCTTCATGAGGTAGTCCGTGAGGTCGCGGCCAGCCAGGTCAAGGCGCATGATCGCATGGGGCAGGGCATACCCCTCATAGATGGGGACATTGTGGGTGACACCATCCCCCGAATCCAGGACGATACCTGTGGACAGAGGATAGGACCTAGGAAAAGCTCATTCTTATCTTCCATCTGTCTCTGCCTGGGGTCTATTACCAATGACACTCAACTACTATGTTTTCCTTTAGCAGTTAAAATTCGAGATATTACCACCAAAAGGAAACAGAATTGTCATTATTTGCAGATAATGTGGTTTTACATATAGGAGACCCAACAGAATCAAGTAAGAGACCAGTAGACTTAATTAGATGGCTTAAGAAGGAGAGATGCAAAATTAATGTATAGAAATGAGTCAGTTACTCTTGTGCAAGTATCTTTTTTTTTTTTTGAGATGGAGCCTCAAGCTATCCCTCTGGGTAGAGTGCCATGGCATCACAGCTCACAGCAACCTCCAACTCCTGGGCTCAAGCGAGTCTCCTGCCTCAGCCTCCCAAGTAGCTGGGACTACAGGCGCCCACCACAACGCCTGGCCATTTTTTGGTTGCAGCCATCATTGTTGTTTGGCGGGCCCGGGCTGGGGATTCGAACCCGCCACTTTGGGTGTATGTGGCTGGCGCCTAAGCCGCTTGAGCCACAGGCGCCGAGCCTTGTTCAAGTATCTTAATCACAGCATATTTTATAATAGTAATAAAAATTAGAGACAACTTAAAGGTCCAGTAAAAAAGAAATGGTATAATAAATAAATTATAAAACTCTCATACAATGACTACTACCTGGCCATTAAACACGACATGTTTGCTACAAAAAATCAATTGCAAAGTGCTGGATACAAAGCTCTACGTGCCTTGTATTTCCTATCACTGTCCTTATCACCTGCAGTGAAATTTTCTTTTACTTATGTTTCTCCTCCACTGAATGGTTAGCTCTCTAATGGCAGGGTCTCTCTTGTTTGTCAGTGTATGCTCATGGCCTGGTACTGTGTTTGCCACATTGTAGAGAGTAATGGGAAATATTTGATGGGTGAGTGAATGCTGTGTTAAAATCGCCAACAGTACTAGGTGCAGTAACATGCTCTACAGGTTTGTTGCCTAGGCCTAGGAGCAATAGACTATACCATACAGCCTAGGTATGTAGCAGGCGACACTATCTGGGTTTGTGTAAGTACATGCTATGTATGATGTTCCTACAATGAAGAAGTCACCTAACGATTCTCATTTCTAAGAACATGCCTCTGACTGGGTGTGGTGGCTCACACTTGTAATCCTAACACTTTGGGAGGCCGAAGGAATTAAGCAATCCCTGTTGAGCAGAGGGATTGCTCAATGCCAGGAGTTTGACTCTAACCTGAGCAACATAGCAAAACTTCATCTCTACAAAAAAAAAGAAAAATCAGCTGGGTGTATGGCTTGGCACCTGTAGCTCAGCGACTAGGGTGCCAGCCACATACACCAGTGCTGGCAAGTTCAAATCCAGCCTGGGCCTGCCAAACAACAATGACAACTACAACCAAAAAGTAGCCAGGTGTTGTGGTGGGCGTCTATAGTTCCAGCTACTTGGGAGGATAAGGCAAGAGAATCATTTAAGTCCAAGAGTTGGAAGTTGCTGTGAACTGTGATGCTATAGCACTCTACTGAGGGCCACATAGTGAGACTCTGTCCCAAAAAGAAAAAAAAAATTAGCTGGGTGTGTGGCTCATGCGTGTAGTCTTGACTGCCTGGGAGGCCAAGAAAGTAAGACTTTTTGAACCTCAGAGTTAGAGCACCACTGCACTTAGCCCCATATCCCTGTCATTAAGCAACGCATGACCGTGCTTACTTGTCCACCACCACAGATTCTACTATTGCTGCTTCATGAGGAGAGGCATTTAAATATTGTTGCAGTGTGTATATAAGCTCTGGCCTGGGAATGACTACTGTGAAGGAAAACAACCCTCGCTGGATGTACAAGTTATGCTTTGTTCATGTAAATTCTTTCCTACTATCCCAAGTAAGTTCACACCTGGCATTCCCATGTTAGCCCTAAGCAAGATTTCCCCTGAACTTTGTTGCTTTGATTCTTCTGAGCAGGAGCCTCTGCTAGAAGCCAGCTTTTTCTACTTCCCCTAAAGTATGAAAAGGAATGAATTACAGGTCTACTCACCTGTCGTGCGGCCAGAGGCATAGAGGGAGAGCACGGCTTGAATGGCAACATACATGGCAGGGACATTGAAGGTTTCAAACATAATCTGAAAGGATAATGAAGAATAAAGAATTATTTGGCAAAAAACACAGTACCTCTTGGCCTAAAGAATGGTTTGTAATCTTTTTTTTTGAGGCAAAGTTTCACTTTGTCACCCTTGGTAGAGTGCTGTGGCATCATGGCTCATAGCAATCTCAAACTCTTGGGCTCAAGGCATCCTTTTGCCTCAGCCTCC